TTAAAAAAATTCATGGAAACCAATGAAAATGAAAACACAACTGTTCAACATCTTTGGGATACAGCAAAGGGAGTCCTGAGAGGAAAGTATATAGCAATACAAGCCTTTCTCAAGAAACAAGAAAGGTCTCAAATACACAACCTAACCCTACACCTAAAGGAGCTGGAGAAAAAACAGCAAATAAAGCCTAAACCCAGCAGGAGAAGAGAAATAATAAAGATCAGAGCAGAAATCAATGAAATAGAAACCAAAAGAACAGTAGAACAGATCAACGAAACTAGGGGCTGGTGCTTTGAAAGAATTAACAAGATTGATAAACCCCTGGCCAGACTTATCAAAAAGAAAAGAGAAATGACCCAAATATAAAATCATGAATGAAAGAGGAGTGATCACAACCTACACCAAAGAAATACAAACAATTATAAGAACATAGTATAAGCAACTATATGCCAGCAAATTAGACAATCTGGAAGAAATGGATGCCTTCCTAGAGATGTATCAACTACCAAAACTGAACCAGGAAGAAATAGAAAACCTGAACAGACCTATAGCCACTAAGGAAATTGAAGCAGTCATCAAAAATCTCCCAACAAACAAAAGCCCAGGGCCAGATGGCTTCCCAGGGGAAGTCTATCAGACATTTCAATAAGAATTCATACCTATTCCCCTGAAACTGTTCCAAAAAATAGAAATGAAAGGAAAACTACCAAACTCATTTTATGAGGCCACCATTACCTTGATCCCAAAACCAGACAAAGACCCCAACCAAAAGGAGAACTACAGACCAATATCTTTGATGAACATGGATGCCAAAATTCTCACCAAAATACTAGCCAATAGGATCCAACAGTACATTAAAAGGATTATTCACCACGACCAAGTGGGATTTATCCCTGGGCTGCAAGCCCGGTTCAACATCTGCAAATCAATCAACGTGATACAATACGTTAACAAAAGAAAGAACAAGAATCATATGATCCTCTCAATAGATGCAGAAAAAGCATTTGACAAAGTACAGCATCCTTTCTTGATCAAAACTCTTCAGAGGAGAGGGATAAAGAGTACATACCTCAATATCATAAAAGCCATCTATGAAAAACCTACAGCGAATATCATTCTCAATGGGGAAAAGCTGAGCGCTTTTCCCCTAAGGTCAGGAACGTGGCAGGGATGTCCACTCTCACCACTGCTATTAAACACAGTATTAGAAGTCCTAGCCACAGCAATCAGACAACAAAAAGAAATCAAAGGCATCCAAATCGGCAAAGAGGAAGTCAAACTCTCACTCTTTGCAGATGATATGATACTGTATGTGGAAAACCCCAAAGACTCCACCCCAAAAATGCTAGAAGTCATACAGGAATTCAGTAAGGTAGCAGGATATAAAATCAATGCACAGAAATCAGTGGCATTCCTCTACACCAACAACAAGACAGAAGACAGACAAATCAAGGAGTCGATCCCATTTACAATTGCACCCAAAACCATAAGATACCTAGGAATACATTTAACCAAAGAGGCAAAGGATCTGTACTCAGAAAACTATAAAATATTCATGAAAGAAATTGAAGAAGACACAAAGAAATGGAAAAACGTTCCCTGCTCATGGATTGGAAGAACAAACATTGTGAAGATGTCAGTGCTACCCAGAGCAATCTACACATTCAATGCAATCCCCATCAAAATACCATCCACCTTTTTCAAAGAAATAGAACAAATAATCCTAAAATGTGTAAGGAACCAGAAGAGACTCCGAATAGCCAGAGGAATCTTGAAAAAGAAAAGCAAAGCCGGTGGCATCACAATTCCGGACTTCCAGCTCTCTTACAAAGCTGTCATCATCAAGACAGTATGGTACTGGCACAAAAACAGACACATCGATCAATGGAACAGAATCAAGAGCCCAGAAATGGACCATCAACTCTATGGTCAACTCATCTTCGACAAAGCAGGAAAGAATGTCCAATGGTGGGCGCCTGGGTGGCTCAGTTGGTTAAGAATGTCCAATGGCAAAAAGACAGTCTCTTCAACAAATGGTGTTGGGAAAATTGGACAGCCACAGGCAGAAGAAGGAAACTGGACCATTTCCTTATGCCACACACAAAAATAGACTCCAAATGGTTGAAAGACCTAAACGTGAGACAGGAGTCCATCAAAATCCTAAGGGAGAACACAGGCAGCAACCTCTTCGACCTCAGCTGCAGCAACTTCTTCCTAGAAACATCGCCAAAGGCAAGGGAAGCCAGGGCAAAAATGAACTATGGGGATTTCATCAAGATCAAAAGCTTCTGCACAGCAAAAGAAACAGTCCACAAAACCAAAGACAACTGACAGAATGGGAGAAGATATTTGGCAATGACATATCAGATAAAGGGCTAGTATCCAAAATCTATAAAGAACTTATCAAACTCAACACCCAAAGAACAAATAATCCAATCAAGAAATGGGCAGAAGACATGAACAGACATTTTTCCAAAGAAGACATCCAAATGGCCAACAGACACAGGAAAAAGTGCTCAACATCGCTCGGCATCAGGGAAATCCAAATCAAAACCTCCATGAGATACCACCTCACACCTGTCAGAATGGCTAAAATTAACACGTCAGGAAACGACAGATGTTGGCGGGGATGTGGAGAAAGGGGAACCCTCCTACACTGTTGGTGGGAATGCAAGCTGGTGTAACCACTCTGGAAAACAGTACGGAGGTTCCTCAAACAGTTGAAAATAGAGCTACCATACGATCCAGCAATTGCACTCCTGGGTATTTACCACAAAGATACAAATGTAGGGATCCGAAGGGCTACGTGCATCCCAATGTTTATAGCAGCAATGTCCACAATAGCCAAACTGTGGAAAGAGCCAAGATGTCCATCGAGAGATGAATGGATAAAGAAGAGGTGGTATATATACACAATGGAATATTATGCAGCCATCAAAAGGAATGAGATCTTGCCATTTGCAACGACGTGGATGGAACTGGAGGTGTTCTGCTGAGCGAAATAAGTCAATCAGAGAAAGACATGTATCATATGACCTCACTGATATGAGGAATTCTGAATCTCAGGAAACAAACTGAGGGTTGCTGGAGTGGTGGCGGGTGGGAGGGATGGGGTGGCTGGGTGATAGACGGTGGGGAGGGTATGTGCTATGGTGAGCGCTGTGAACTGTACAAGACTGATGAATCACAGATCTGTACCTCTGAAACAAATAATGCAATATATGTTAAGAAAAAAAAACAAGAAGATAGGGGAAGAATGAAGGGGAGTAAGCCCGAGGGGGAGACGAACCATGAGAGACGATGGACTCTGAAAAACAAACTGAGGGTTCTAGAGGGGAGGAGCGTAGGGGGATGGGTTCGCCTGGTGATGGGTATTAAAGAGGGCACATTCTGCGTGGAGCACTGGGTGTTATGCACAAACAATGAATCATGGAACACCTCAAAAACTAATGATGTAATGTACGGTGATTAACATAACAATAAAAAATTATTAAAAAAAAAAAAAGAACTTTCTGGCAAGGGGATAGCATTGCTTTGTATGTGGTTGGTGGTGCTTCCCTGAAACGATGTATGTGTTAAACACATAGAACTTAACACCACCCCAAAATTGTACCACATGTAAAATTTGAGAAACAGTTTCAACCTGTGTACTTTAAAAAGAACTTTTATTCCAGTTACACCTCAGTAAAACTTGAGAAAGAAAGGGTGGGAGGGATAATTTTGAGGGGAGGCTAATGATCCTGCCCCCCACCCCTTCCCCCTCTTTGCCTCAGGCAGAAACCCCAGGGTTCACTGAGACCCCCCAATCGTAAGAGAAGGCTTAGTTCTACAGGTGAACACAGAGTTCTAGGGGCTGAGGTAGGCAGCCCCAAAATGGGCCACTTTGCCATGAAGACTATTCTGAGCTAAAGGCCCTCGAGACATTACAGGCTCCAGAGAAACTTTTGGCCCTCCCTTCGCTACTACATAGAAGAATCTCAATGGCAGGGTCTTTGCAGAATAAGGGTTATTATCAGGAATAAATCTTATCTGAGTAACCCAAGGATGTGGCAGGGCAAACATTTGACTACCAAACTTACTGATTTTCATCTTCCTGTGAGTTCCTTTCCTTCCCTTTGATGTCCCAAACTCCCACACACTTCTTTTAATTCAGGATGACATATGTACCCCATTATGCCTGACTACCATATCTGTGTGGATTCCGCACACTTATGCTATTAAATTGTTATTGTCCTGTTAATCTGTCTCATGTCAATTTGATTCTAGTGCAGCTAGGACCTTGAAGGGGACAGGAAACTCTTGCTTTTCTTCACTCCCCAGAGCTGGCCCCCCCGCCCCCATCTCCCCCTCTTGCTGGCAAAACCCTTGGCCTCTCCACCTCCTATCCTCCCATCCTGGCAAGGCCTTCTGAGGGTGGCAGGTGTCAGGAAGAAGACCTCATGGACTTTGCCTTAGGAAGGCTAGTCTGGGGCAGACAGGGGGAGAGGGGGCCCTGGGCCCATGGACCAGATGTTGGGACAGATTAACCTTAGGAGTGAAGATGACAAGAAACGTATTTTGAGCACATTGTGTTGCTAGCATGGTAGGCAGCTCTACAAAGGCACCAGTAGCCAATGGAAGTCCAGAACTGGGCTGGAGGATGGGGGTGGCAGGAAGTAAGTGTGCACAGACTAGAGGTGGTGCTAGAGAGTGGGGCAGGGACCTTCCCCCAAGAGAAGGTCATCAGGGACAGACCCCAGGGGATGCCGCGGTGAGGTGCCAGAGCAAGGACAGGGCACACCTCATCACATAGTCCATACACTTCCAAAACAAACCTGCTTTTCTCCTAATTTGGAAGTTAGGAAGTAACGGAAAAAAAATAATTAAGAACGTAGATGAGAGAAACTAAAAAAGACTAATTTAGAGAAAAAGAAGGCAGGTTGCCTCTGAGCTCAGTTCCAGACCCTGGAGGACGGTGGGTATCAGCTGAGCACGAGGGAGACAATCTAAGCAGGCAGGACATGTGGCTGCTCCCGGTTCTGCTCCTTCTCATCATCCAAGGTGAGTGGGGCGGGGGCTTCAGGATGGAGCACCCGCAGGGCTGGGGCGGGACACACACAGGGTCTGTCCCGGGGGCAATGGCAGAACATTTCACTCATCCAGACACTTATTCGTTAAAAAAACTTTTTTTAAAGTCTTGTTACCTGACATCTATTAAGTTAGGTGTTGGGGAGAGAAAACAAAAATAACACAAACAGTGTCTGTTTTCTAGTGCACTACTTGTCAACTCTGGCAGACAGATGGATAGACAGTTGATGGATGGATGGTTGCATGGATGCATGGATGAATGCATGCATGGATGCACGGATGAATGCATACATGGATGTATGGGTAGATGACAGACAGACACAGACATGCACACATATATACACATATGTAAATGCATGAATTCCAGAGGAATTTTGAAGGAACCCAGAAGCTCAGGCTCCAGCAGAGACCCACTCAGTCAAGGTGGGGGTCAGGCATCTGGATCATTTATAAACCTGCATAACTGTCTTGACTTGTAGCTAGAGCTGAGATCTTCTCTTCTGAAGAGCTCAGGGTAGAGGGAGGAAGACAGACAGCAAAATCTGGGTGTGACAGGCACTCTGGAGAGTTGCTCAACCCCACAGATCGGGCTGCCCAAGTCTCTGCTTTGGATGAGCCGAAGACCAGACAGTCGTCCAGGGTCATAAGCGCAACAATGGAGACAGGGACGACGTGCTCTGATGGCACCAGGAACGACCCAGTTGACTGCAGAATCATAGACACCATAGAAGAGATACTATTGAGCCAAGCCTTGAGGGATGAATATAAGGCTTGATTCCTTCAAGCAGAGAAGAGAGAACATTCCAAGCAGAGAGAACAGCTTGTGCAAAGGCATGGAGACTCAGAAGAGCAAGGTGTGTAGTGAAATAGTTCTGTGCCACATGTCGATTAGAGGGTGAAGTATTTTAGGTGTTTTGGGGTTAGAGTGTCAGGGGATGGGTAGGGAGGGGGCTGCACTGTCTCACCATCTCTGGGATTCAGAAATACACCTGGGGCTGCAGTGTGGGCTCTGTGCTGCTGGGGAGAGCTGTTGGTGGAGGGCATGGAGGAGTCATGATCAGTAAGTGATGAGTGAGCGGAGGCCCCTGTATTGGGCAATTAGCAGCAACCGAGAGAGGTAACAGCTAAAGACGTACTGCAGGGAATGAAGGGACAGGCGGGATGTGGCGATTAGACAGAGAGCAGAGGCTCCTGGCTGGTCTTCAGGGCAGTACCAGATGCCCCAGCATCATCCAGACCATCCCAGGGCTCAAGAGAGGATGACATGAATGTTGGGTTTCTGTCTTCTAGGCCACTTCTCCATCTGCCAAGAGGGGATGGTGAGAGCCACAGAGTGGGGCACACTGACAGCTTATTGTGAGTATACCCCAGGATGGGAATCCTACAAGAAGTGGTGGTGCCACGGGAAGAACTGGATTTACTGCAAAATCCTTGTAAAAACCACCGGGACCAATGAGCCAGTAAAGAAGGGCCGAGCATCCATCCAGGACAATCCCAACCAACGCACATTCACCATGACCTTAGAGGAGTTCTGTCCAGATGATGCAGACACCTACTGGTGTGGGATTGAGAGAACCGGCGTTGACCCAGTGTACAAATTATCTGTGATTGTTGACCCAGGTAGGCACTACGCCCTCCTGTGTCTTGGGGCCCTGATACCACCCACAGAGGAGTCAGGACTGTTCCTCTGTCTTCCCAAATGGATGGAGAAGAGTCTCTAAACTTGCCTGAGACTACACCTGTGTGTGCTTGTTTGTGTGTGTGTGTGTGTGTGTGTGTGTGTGTGTGTGCGCGCGCGTGTGTGAGCATGTGTGAGCAAGTATGGTGGGGGGCACCAAGAGTCTGGAAAAGACTGGAAGAAAGAGCGAGCCCCATATCTCTGTGTGATCCATCTGCTCTCACCAAAGGGAGCAGAGAAGCAGAGACTCGGGTAGGACAGGCTTGTCCAGGGAAGGCAGCTCCTCTTTTCCCGGTCATGTCCACCCTCAGTGCAGCCCCAGGCTGAGTGGGGCCTTGTCAGGTGTGCAGGGGGGAGTGGGTACTAGAAAACCATGGTCCTGATGGTCTCAGCTACAGGACAAGAGACCCTCTCCCTGCCCCCTCCTTCTTCCCCTCCTTCCTCTGGCAACATAAGCACAAAGGAGCAGGCAAGGGACTCTGAACCCATTTCTGGGAAAAGGTAAGGCAGACTCCACCAGAGTGCAGGGACCCCCTCTCTGGCTGCCTCTGAGCCTTGGAGGGGACTCTGGGCTCCACTGCAGCTGCCCCAGAGGCACTAGGGCCTCCCTGCAGACAGGCCTGGAAAGGGAGTCAGGCTGTAGCCCCCCACACACAGCTCCAGATCTGGACCTCTCGGTCTTCCTCCAACATACAGACCCACAGACACACAGACCCAGAGACTAGGTAGGTAATACATCTGATACTCATTAGCTCATTTATAAAGCAGAGAAAAGTCTCTTCACAATTAGCATATGCAAAATGGTGTGCAAATGTGCTCAGTGGACAGGTATGCTGGTGTAGAATGTTCCAGAGATTAACTGAAAAAGACAACAAAGGTGGGTGGATGTGTGCAAGACCATAGGAGGAACTGGGGCTGGAGATCTGGAGTCTGGACCCTCCAACCAGACAAGGCTTCACTGGCAGGTCTTGTGTAATAAGAAATGTCCCGGGAAGGCAGGCAGGACCCCAGGGGACAGCAGGGCCTGTGGGCTCTGGGAGGCTACAGGAGACGGGGGAACCCTCGGCCAGCCAGCTCGTGGGTCACAGTGCTTCAGGACAGGTGGCACACAGTCTGCTTTGGGCAAGGCTGAGACTCAGAGAAGAGCTGGCCTGGCTGATTGAAACCTCCAGGGGTGGGAACGTGGCTCTGACATGCTCAGCTGTGCCAAACAGAACCCTGAGATTGAGCTGAATGTAATTGCTCCAGAGCTTCCCAACCCACACGCCTCCCCCGGTGGTGAACTGGTGTTTCTCTGCAAATGAAGTAATTGCATGTTTGGGATGAGAAACCAAGAAGATGCAAGAGCAGGCCAACGTGCCTGAGTGATGAGGCTAAGGCAGAAGCTTCTTCACCCTGGGGGTGGGGAGTGGAGAAGGCCATGGGGCCACCTGCGTCACACTCACACCCTGCTCTGCTCTGTGTGTTTAGCACCGGATCCAACAGATTTTCCCAAGCCTGTGATGAGACCCACAACAGCCAGTTGGGATTCCACATTTCCATTTACCCAGGGCATCAACAGTACCCAGCTCGTGACTCTGATCAACCCCGATAGCAGGTGAGCAGAGCTGGACCCCAGCAGACCTTTCCCGCTGCAGCCCTGTGACCACTCCCTTCAAGACACTCTGTCGGGGACCCCCCTTAGCCCTGGTGATGTTTCCTGTGCAGGGGATAATCAGCAAGGTCTGCACTGGGTCCCCTCTTTAGACCTCTGAGCACTTAAAGAACTCCCCACTCCACAAGAGGAACCTAGACAAAGTTCTTCAGCTGGGCTGCAGGAGAGAAGGCTCTGGCCTCCTTCTGACCTGCCTCCCAACCCACAAGAACCTCAAAGAGGTGTAGGTGGTTCCAGCCTCAAGTATGCCAGAAGGAAGGTGCTCTGTATTCCTTTCCTGTGGCTTCTGGAGAAAATCACCACCAACCTGGTGGCTTAAGACAAAAAGAGTTTTATGATCTAATGGTTCTGGAGGTTAGAAGTCTGAAATGAGTCTCCCTGGGCTAAAGTCAAGGTGTTGACAGGTCTGGTTCCTTCTGGAGGCTCTAAGGGAGAAGACCTCCCTTGTCTTTTCCAGCCTCTGGAGGCCCTGCACCCCCTGGTTCAGGGTCCCTTCCATCCTCACAGCCAGCAGTGGTGGTCGAGTCCTCCTCACATCACATTAATGGGACACTGGCTCTCCCCTGTCCTTTCACTTATAAACACGCTGCTGGTGACATTAGTTCCACCAGGTAACCCAGGATAATCTCCCCATCTCAAGGTCAGCGGGTTGGTAATCTTAACTCCATCTGCATCATGAATTCCCCCTTGCCATGTACACTAACACATTCACAGGTCTGACATCTCTGGGGGGAGGGTGTTATTCTGTCCACAGATACTCACGGGCGGGTACCTGTTCCATGGATCCAGCCCTGTCCTCCCTGAGTGCTAGGGAAACGCTGGGAAGGAGTGGGAAGCTGGGATTCCTGCTTTCTCACATCCCCAACATGGTAGAGAGGCTGGGACATCAACATGAATCCCACCCCTCCTCAAGAATCATCCAAAGCCAACCAATTAGCTCTTTCATCCAAGGGCAAACACGCTGCCCCAGTTTCACCCCATCAAAGACCAGTGAAGGTGCATTCCCTCCCTGGGTCCCTCCTCCCATATCTCCCTCTATCAGCTTCCTTCCAGCTCCAGTGCTACTTCTTTCCCTTCTCCAGGACCCTATTCCTTGGAGCCTGGCCCCGCTCGGCAGTTTGTTCAGTCATGCCTCTGAATGAGGCAAGGCACTTGGCTCATGCCTCACAACCAGCTTCTGTCCTGCTGGTGACTCTTTGGAGAGGAGTTGTTCTGTTGAGTGGGCAGTGGAAGGTGCAGGACTTTTAGGAGACCAAGGAGCATGGGTGGAATCCTACAGGGTAGAGAAATGGGACAGCAGCCCCACAGGGATTGGAATTGGGAAAAGAGTACAGTGGCTTGAAGGATATTTTGAGGAAGGGCAAAGCAGCATGCCCTCTCTCTCCAGAAAAATACCTGTGAAGTCCACATGACCCATCATGCTCAAGGCAGGTGAAGGACAGAGCAAGGTTGGTCTGCAGGGGGTCCTGGCCTTGCTTGTAGAGGAAGGAATGAGGCCGAGGGTGAGGGATCCAGACTTTTGGATACTGAGAGGGACTACCAGGGGAACACATGTAAGCAATGGCCCATCATCCATCAGACCCCGTGTCCACTATATAGGGTGTATGAGAGAGAACACCTCATTTGTGCTACCACATGGAGGTCAGAGCTGGGAGACACCCTTCCCAGGAGAACCCTGAAGGTAAACAGCCAGGTGGACAGGGGTGAGGGATCTGCCTCTGCTTCAAAGAGGTAATATTAGATCAAAGATGGAAATGTGGGCAGAACTGACACAAGGTAGGATACAAGTAGAATGAGAAAGACAGGCAAAGGTAGACCTTTGAGCTTGGCTGGCCTGCAGGTGAGATGGAGGGGAATTGTGGGAGAGCAGCCAAAAAGCAGGATAAAATCAGGGGCAGAGGTGGTGGACCCCAGGCTAAGCCTGCAGGGAGGGCCCTAAAGGCTTAGCCTTGGTTTGGCAGCATGGCTGTGCCCTCAGAGGGGCTTCCCTGGCAGGGACCAAGCCTTGTCTCTCCTGCAGGTCTGGGCTCAGGAATCAGGTCAGGGAGGAAGGGGCTGGGGCTGACCCTAAAGAGAGAGTTCACTGTTGTCACCCTGTTCCCTGCACCGGGCCCTGCTGTGCAACCTTCACTTTGTGCCCTTGACCTTTGTGAAGGTGTCCCTGCACAGGGCCCTGCTGTCCCCTCCAAGGACAGGGAACTCAGCCGATGGTCAAAAGAGCAGTTCATTTCTGTCCCTCCATTGGTCCCTTAGCCCTCCTGGTCCTTCAGGTGCAGGGCTCCAGGGAGTGTCTGGACTTCTCCATCCAGACAGGACAAAGGAGGGGCTCAGATCTGTCCCCTTCACACCTGTGATGCTGTCCATCCTCCCATCAGCTAGACCCACCATCACCCACTCCTGGGTTTCACCTAAACTTTGCCCTGCCCACCCTCCCCCACCCCCAGCAGAGCAAGGACAAGCCAGAATGCCGGGCCCTTCATGTTTAACTTCCTCCCACTCACACATCAAAAAATAACACAAGTCTTTTTCTATTTTAATTTTCAAACGTATACATATTTCCTCCCAATAAAACGTTGGGGTTTTGTTGGGGGGGGGGTTCTCTTCTACTTACGTTCTTCCTGGGCTCTGCTCTTTTTTGTGTCCACATTTTTTGAACCATTTTTGGGGAACTATATCTCTTTTCTGAGCTCCTTTTTAGTGAAGTCATTGTCTGTCATTTCTCTGGACTGAGCGGACCTATCTGACCTCTTGCTCTGTGTCCTGGAGCATTTCCTCTCTGAAGCAAATTCACCAGCCACCTTTTGCTGGCTCTCTGTTCCTCTCCTTGAGCCTGTTAGAAAAGGCGCTGGTTCGTTTTTGGTTCGAGTTTCCTTTGAAAGAGGTCAGGGCTTCGCCAAAGTGGGTGTGTCGGGGCAGGGTGGGGGGGCATTCTGCCACAGCGGTGGCTTCTGGTGGGGAACAGCTCTGCCACATGCTGACACCTGAGCCCACGCGGTTCTGGGTCTCGCGTCAGGAAAGGGCGAGACCTCAAGGCCCAGCAGCCTGCGTGTTACCGCGTGGGAGCTCGGGCCCGCTGTCCCCGCCGCAGGGCTGAGTCACAGAGCGGCCCTTGGCAGCAGCCAGCACCCTCCCCACAGCCGCCGTGCCCACGGCAGAGGCAGCATGTTCCTCTTTACTGTCTTGTCCGACCCTAGAACGGATAGAGGCCGAACGGTCCCGTTATCCATGCTTAGATTTTCCTTACTTTGTCATGTCACAGATTCTGTGGTCAGGAATTCCAGCTGGTTGAGACAAGGACGGCCTGTCTCTGCTCCATCATGTCTGGGGCCTCAGTTGGGAAGACATATGCTGGTGGGGTGACTCACATGGCTCAGTGCCACTGTCATCTGGAAGCGTCTTTGCCCGCATGTCTGGAACATGAGCCAGGGTGACCCAACCAGGAGCTCAGTCCTGACTGTTGACCCGAGACCCTACAGGTAGCCTCTCCTTGTGGCCACCAGGTTCTGAGTGGGAGAGCCCCCAGAGCCAGTGTTTCTAGAGACTGAGGAAGGGGCTACGGGGTTCCTCCTGGCCTGACCTTGGACATCACACAGGGTCACTGTCACCAGGCTCTATCTGGACCTTCCGATGGGGACAAACATTGGTTCTTGGAGGGTGAAAAAATGCTACTCTTTTCGTATATAAAACATAGATGATCAATTGGTAGAAGATCAACTGATCAATAGAACATGAACATATACAGTATATCTTTGGCATTAAAATGTCATAGTGCGGAGGGGCGGGGGTGCACTTCTAGGAAGAGAAATGAGTAAACAGGCTCCTTAGGAGAATAATTATGGAATAACATTTGGGAAGCTCTGCTCTGGGCTACTGGCTGCAGTGGCCACAGCCCACCCAGACTCAAGGGGAGGGGACGTAACCCCAACTCTTAATAAAAGGAGTGTCAAGAAATTTGCAGTCCTGTTTTTTTAACTGCCACATGGAATAATATTAATCTAGTGTCTTCACATCACATTAAAGAATGAGGAGCCCGGAAGGCTGAGCCCCCTGGCCCCAGTCATAAGGCCAGGGAACAGACTTGGACCTGCCCTGGAGCCAGCCTGGGGCTGGCCCACACGGCATCCCTGCAAGTGCATCTGTGTACTTCAAAGGTCAGTTCCCAAGCCTGCAGGGCACCATATGGCCCCAGGTGTAAATACTAGGCAGACACAACGATGTTCTGCAATTTCTCTGCTTTACTCACAGATCACAGACTGCATCCATAATTGCATGAACTTATGAATGTTTTGTTCAGGTCACAATATTTTTTAAATGGAGTTTGTTGCCTACATGTAAATATGAGCAATTTCACTTCTGGTTTCTCTTTTAAAAGCAGAAATGCCAGGAAACAGCAGGTCCTGCATGGAGAGTGTTTAAGACCTTCCTGCAGCTTCCTAGGGCTTCCAGGATACCATTAAAGCACACGGATTAGAAAGGAAGAAATAAAATTGTCCCTCTGTGCAGATGACATAATTGTGTAGAAAATCTCAGGGAACCTACAAAAAACAAAACAAAACAAAACCCAACTGCCAGAACTAAAAAATGAGTTTAACAAGTCACAGGATAAAAGATCAATACACATATACACATACATACACACATAAACATACACACATACACACACACACACACAGTGCTATTTCTATACTAGCAACGAGCGTGTAGAAACTGAATTGAAACACACAGTGCTATTCACAGCTGCTGGACAAGAAGAAGAAACACCTGGTATAAATCTAAGAGAACATGTGCAGCATCCATATACTAAAATTTACAAAACTCAGGTGACCGAAGCCAGGGAATATTTAAATAAATTGTGAGAGGTACCACATTATCAATATAGGAAAGATGTCAATTATCCCAATACGATCTATAAGTTTAAAACGATTCTTATCAAAATCCCAGCAAGACTGTTTTGGTAGATAAAGACAAGCTTACACTAAAATTTATATGGAAAGGTAAAGAAAACTAGAATACTTAAAAATAAGTTAGAGAAAGAATAAAGTACATCATAAGCTTCTCTCTTGCCCAGCATTGTGTTTCCTACATCGCCCTGTGTGTGTTTTATCATATGGTCCATATGTGCTTCTTTGGTTAAATTTCTCCTTCTGCGGAGTCCTGGGCCAGTGCCAGTTCTCCTCAAGGGGCCACGAGGGGCCCTGCCCTAGCAGAAGTCATGCCGGGACTTGGGTTCCGAGTGTGGCTGCCCGCCCGGCAAACACAACACTCAGGAGCTCGGAGTGTTTTCTGGAAACTGGCATCACTAGGTCAAGGAAGGCTTCACGTGGCGGAGACAAGAGGGCTGGTCTAGACACGAGGAGATGAGTGGAGTCGGTGACGCATGCTTGTGACAGACTATACAACCCTGCACACTTCCAGAAGGCCCTGCACACTTCCAGAAGGCCCTTCACATTTCCGGAAGGAGCCATTTACAAGCACGAAACCAACTGAGCCCTTTCCGGGGGCATGCGTCAGCACCTCGCCCTCCGTGGGCTTTCATGTCCTAACCTGACCTGCCTCCCGTGTGGATGCCCTTCTCAGCCCTTCTTGGGTTCTGCCACCCCAGCCTGGGCTGAGCCTCGGTGTGGAGGACTTCCTCACCCACCCAGACCCGACCCCCATGCCCAGGGGTCCCTCAATGCAACGCCCTCCGCACTTTAGACACGAACCCCCCACATTACCATCTTACTTTTAACAACAAATTTAAACTTTCTATTGACTTTGTGCCTCAAAAGATGAAGATTTTGCATCTCACTCTGTCCTCCCTCCTCTTCCCAGCGCTGATTTTCTCAGCATACTGTTCCTTGCACCTATATCTATACTCTCTTCTGTAATGTTTCCCACCACTGCTTAGGGGTTTTTCTCTTTTTAAATATATTCATTGCTGACCACAGATTCCCTTTTTTCACTATTTAACTCATCCCTTTGATGGCAAAATTTCATCATAATGTAGATTTTCTATTTTTAAAGGGCTTATGGGTGCTGTATTTCATAAGGCCTTGCACGCATGAGACTGTTTCTTGTCCGAATATTTCTGGAATATCCTCTCATTTTCTCAGAGCATGTAAATTTTCCTTCACTGTCTTCTGGGATGTAGTGTGGTTATCACATCTGAGGCTAGCCTATTTGTGTCACACACAACAAGCTCCTTCTGGTATGATCTAATTGGATCACCATTTTTTATATCAGCCCATATGATTCTGATTTATCTTCCAGGTTCTGTAACTTTATAATATTCTGGGTGTGGATCACTTGTATAGTCCTTTCCTGGCTCACAGTGTGGGTTCTTAATTACAGCCTGAAAGATCTCTTCATTTCCGGTTAGTTTCGAATTCAATTCAATTGTTTACTTTTGGCTTCTGTCTTCTCCTCCAAGAAAATAGCCAGTGTACATTTGTGGCATCACCTCTCGGTCTCCTGTACCTACATCTGCCTCTCCACACTTTCTGTATTGTGTTCACTTAAATGTCCCTTCATGAAATTTGCAAAAGAAACCACATCTGTAAATTTGCCGGCACATTTATCATTGTGTTTTGTCGTTCCTCCCCCTCATTGTTTCTTCCCGGCAACCTTGTGTCTTTCTCTTGCACTCCTTCTCTTTCCCAAGGTCTGCCTGCTTGCTTTTCATCACCCTATTTGGTACTGCAAACTCTTTACACTTCTAGATTCATTCCGTTCTCTATCATTTCCTTGACTGAATATAGCTGTTTATATGAACAATATTTTCTGTGGATTTTGGGGCATTTCCTCTCCTGATGTATGCTCTTTATTAGCTTTGTGCTGGTGTTCTTTCCTTTTCTTTTAACCTATAAGCTTTTGAAGGTGCTACTCCCTTTTTGAATAAAAATTGGTATTTGCCAAAGACAAGTGTGGGGAGGGAGGTGGCTGGGAGGGTCTGCAAGCTGGAGCAGGTGGTGGCCTGGAACCTCCCCCCACCCTCAGGGCAGGTGTCCTGTTGGTTCTCAGCCCACCCAGCATCACCTACCTGGTGGCTCTCTGCTTGCTGCCTATCGCTACTCCTTCTCCCCCCTCTCCCTCACCCCCATCCCCTACAGCATTCTCCTCTACCTGGGGGCCCAGGTCACATGCAGTCAACATGCCAAGTCTGCCCATCAGAGTGTAAAGACAAAAAATTGACAACACCCAGTGTTGGGGGTGGGGCTGACCATTTATTAACACATTTAGACAAGGGTAGTAATGTTTACAACCTCTTTGGTAATATCCATCAAAATTGGAAAAATGCACTGACCAGTAAGACTGCTATTTTTTTATAGGAATGTACCCGACAGGTGTAGCCATAAATGTATATCAAGCCACATACACAAGAGATTCGTTCCACAATTACATGTAGTTGCAAAAAACCCAAAACATCAGAAATGCCCATCAGGAGTGAAAAAAATTAAACAAATCATGATATGTAGATATCATGGAATACAATGAAGCCATTAAACAATTTGTAGATACTGGGGCGGAGCAAGATGGCGGAGGAGTAGGAGACCTGGATTT